ATAAACCTATAAGAACATAAGTCTCCCAGTCATTCTGTTCTCCCATCTGACATCCACTCTCTTCTTACCCTTACCCTATTAATGTGTAGAAAGTTTTCTCTGTTTTTCTTTTTTAACAACTACATAGTGGTGCTCCACTAGGATATACTATAATTTATTTATTCAGTCCCTTACAGATAGAATTTAGATTGCTTCTAGTCTTCTGCTGTTACAAAAAAATCTTACAACACAGAACTTTGAAGGTGCATCATTTGGGAGGTGTGCAAGCATATCTGAATTCCCATTTCCCAGAAATGGAATTACAGGGTCAAGGAGTATATATATATATATATTTGTAATTTTGTTTGATATTTGGTTGCCAAATTGTCCTTCATACACATCATACTAATACATACTTCCACACACATACATGAGAAGGTTACTAGATTATTTTATGTTTAATACTTGAGCATCCATGATCCTAATCTCACTGTATAAAATATATAAATGTCATGGCAGAAATACTAGGGGCTTAGCCCTCAAATTCTGGATCATTTAATGAATAAGTAAAAGTCATCTTTATGTGAGAAGAAATGCAAAGCTCATAACAAATGGTTTCTATCTCATATCAGTCCCTAAACTGGAAATAAGATTTCCCTATTCTGGGTTAAATTCTCTAATCTTACTGTTTGTTTTATTTTATCGTAAAACTTGTATCAAGATGAAATTATAGATTAAACTCCAAAATAAGTAAATGAGGTAGTTATCCTAATGAATTACAAGCCTTTGAGACTTAATTTCTTAGATTTTCTAAATCCATGTGATCTATGACAACACACACACCAATATATGTCCAAAAAATAATTACTGCCTTCTTAGCATGCTGTTACTCTTTTTCTTGAGTCATCGGAGTATCAGGCATTCTGAATCTTGCCTAATTTGTCTCTCTAGGGAATCTCTGGTTGCAGCTAATCTGATCCAGATTTGCTGTGTGTAAGGCAGGGGATTTCACACCTGCAGCAATAGGATTAGAGAGGACCAAAGTGGAAGGCCTTTTTGAAAATGGCTTAATCCTTATAAAGAAAACATAAAAATCCATGTTACTTTTTTCTCTACTACCAACACAGTTTAAAAGCATCTATCAAGTATCTGTGCATGTTGTATGTTAGGTTGTCTGACACATATTTGGTACTATTATTATAAAATCTTCTAGATTTCCATAATAGTCAATTTAAGTATATTTTAGTATTTTTATTAACCTTAACAAGAATAGTAACACCAGAAATTCTTCATATCCTCATTTGGAGTTGGTTGATGAAGGAAAAATTAGCACTCCTAACAATATTAGTCATAATATTTTTTCATTTCATAAACAGAAAACTAAGGCAAGTTGCTGCAGGCACTCTGCTGAAAGCATCACGTCTATTTAGTCTTTATAGTGCTCCTATGAAGTAACTATTAACTTTACACGTGAGGAAACAACCTTTAATTCTCCCTGCATCCTCACCAGTTTTGATCATTTTTTTCATGAAAGTCACACAGTTAGATTGGGAGACAAGATAGGTATCCAGCCCCTTCCACTCAGATGCTACTTTTATATTTCATACCACACTGCTTCTCAGAAAGTCAGCCATAAAGAATATGCTGGTATATTTTGTACTTGCCTATATGTATACCCAAACCCACTGCCATCAAGTTAATGCCAGCTCATGGAAACCCTATAGGACAGAGTAGCATGTCCCGTAGGGTTCCCAAGGCTGGAAATCTTTACAGAAGCAGACTGCCTCATCTTTCTCCTGCAGAGCAGCTGATGGGTTTGAACTACTGACCACTGATCTTTGTCTAACAGCCAAATGCTTTAACCATTATGCCACCAGAGCTCCTTGTGTGTACACCCATTCCGCACTTACTGGCATACTTGAGTTCCAAACACTAGGCTGTTATGTGGAAATCAGCATATATAAAAATGGAAGAAGACTAGATCAGATAAAAAAAAATTAAGGATGCCTACATTGTTACATAACTGCCAAATTATATCATTACATGCCTGCCACACCACTGACAATCATGGTCTACCCAAGTTGACACATACCTTAATCATCACAGCCAGCATTACTCTAGCCTAGCACCTCGGCATTCATTGCTGCCAGACATATTTCATTAATGTGCAAAATAGTCAGATAGTAGGTTTTTACCATTGCTATACACGTGAAATGTCAGATAATGTCAATAAATGAAGAATAAAATGAAACCCAACCCACTGCTATTGAGTCATTTCTGATTCATAGTGACCCCCATTGGGTTTCCAAGGCAGTAAATCTTTACTGAAATAAATTGCCCCATCTTCTTTCCATGGAGCAGCTGGTCAGTTTGAACTGCCAGCCTTCTGATAAGAACATGCCTTAGGCACTGCACCACCAGAGCTCCTTAAGTGAACAATAGGTGTAATTTAATTTATTTATATTTATCTATTCATGTTTAAGATGCTCTGGTGCACAGTGGTTAAGGCATTTGGCTGCTAACCTCAAAAGGTAAGCAGGTAGAACCCTTCAGCCACTCCATAGGAGAGAGATGAGGCAGTCTGCTTCCATAAAAATTTACATCCTCAGAAATCCTATGGAATAGTTCTGCTCTGTCCTATAGGGTCGCTATGAGTCAGAATCAACTCAATGGTGGTTTTATTCATATTTAATTTTAGTACATCATTTAAATATTTATTCATCTTGATTAGCTTTGAAACATGATTAATCAAAGATAGTACAAATATATGTGTGATTGTTACACATATGGAGGAGAACACTGTGTTGTATTTATCATTAATTACAACAATTTTTGTATAAACAAAAACAAACCTCACTGCCATCAAGTCATTTCTGACTCATAGCAAACGCTATTAGGTTTCCAAGGCGGTAAATCTTCACAGAAGTAGATTGCCCAGTCTTCCTTCTGCAGAGTGGCTGATGAGTTTGAACTGCCAGCCATCTGGTCAGCAGTCAAATGCCTTAGGAATTACACTACCAGAGGTCCTTTTTATATTAGGTACCTGTCAGATTTCCCTAGGTCTGTTTGGTTAATCAGGTATCTGGAAGATCTGAGCAATGATTATCTAGCACCGTTTCCATTTACATCACAGGCTGTGCTAGTCTCTATCAGTCATCCACCATTATTGGCCTGGTTTTATCAACCAGACCATAGATCTCTCTTAACAAAAGTAGTACTGTGTCATAGGCCCCAACCCGGACTTTCCCAGGTCTCCTAGGACTAGGTCCCTTCTAACCAAACTGTCACACACATGTCATGGACACACATGTGTCATTGGTCACCATTTTCTAAGCAGTTTTGCAATTGGACTCTGAGCTACAGAGACCACTTTGGACATGAGTCCTTTTGTATTGCAAATTAAGCCAATTCCATGGGCCTGAATTCTACTTTGTCCTACTTAATTGATCCAAATTGCTGTGTCTGGACCAAATAATGATATATCATGTGATCATAAATATCTGTCAAAACTTCTGAGAACATTATGTACAACCAAAAACCTCATGGGATTTGATTCCTTGGTTTGGAGGTTTAAGCACATGGTTTCATGAGACATCTCAGTTAATTGACCTAATATGTTTAGTGTTTCTGATCTACCTCATGGTTTGTTGCATAGTGCTTGATGTTTTAAAAGCTTGCAGTGGCCATCCAAGACATAATAATTGGTCTTTGTTTACCTGGAGAAACAGAATGAGAAGAGTCAGGAATAGGAGGAGGATATGGAATGTGTGGGTAATTGCCTCCGTGAACAACTGATATTTGCCATGAGAACAGAATTGGATAGTGCCCAGCTGCCATTACTGAACATTCTGATCAAAGATTCCATAGAAGAATCCTGATAAAAGGTGGGAAAATGCAGAAGAGAATTTCAGATTATCATGAACTCTAAACTTTCTGGAGCCATGGGAAATAGATGAACCACTGAAACTATTACCTGAGATGATCTTTAAACCTTAAACCAAAAATATCCCAGGCCATCTTAAAACTAACAATAGTTTTAGCTTACCTAGTCAAAAAGGTCTGACTTGAGCATTATGCTCTTTTAAGAACTATCTATATGGGATCAAATTGACAACAGCAACTAGAAAGATTAAGTAGGAACCTTAGGGGGTAGTGAGTTTACATTAATGAAGGAGGAACAGCTCACAAAAGGCAGGTGAAAATGGTTGTGTACAACTTGAATAGTCAGTGTCACTAGACTGTACACATAGAAACTGTTAAATTGGTGTATGTTTTGCTCTGTAATTCTCAACAACAAAATAAAATTTAGGGGAAAAACGATTCATGGGGGTTGAGGAATGTACAAGGATATATGGAGAGTTTTAAAGTGGTGGGTCCCAATTAAGTAAAAACAAATACACTGTTATGTGAAAACTTTTAATATATTTGGTAATAATCTGTGCAAAGTAGAGTAGCTTCTATCTTAGGTTTCAGTTTGATAAAATCAACATTATTTATTAGGGACAATTAGATACAGTATATACTTTCAGGAGCCTTGGTGGAAAACGGTTGAGCACTCAGCTGCTGACTGACAGGTTGGTAGTTGGAACCCAACCAGCAACTGTACAACTGAGCAATCTGCTCCCATGAAGATTACAGCATAGAAAATCCTATGGGGTAGGTCTGCCTGAAGTTGCTATGAGTTGAAATCAACTCAACAGTACCTAGAACACAAACAACTTACTTACTTTGAGGCCAAAGTTACATTTGTTAAATTATGCTCAGAATCTGATCTATAAGATGTTTTTCAAATCATTTTATCCTTAGTGTATCTGACACAAAGACTTTAGGGAAACTTATAATAGGGATTATTTCTACAAATTGAAATTAAAAACACATATCCAGAACCTGTCCTTTTTCTGAATCTCATTGCTAAGTTGATTGTTTTTCTCTCTTGTGTGAGGAATCACCTAGAGTGTTCTTGTGTGGTGAGTAAAATGGGAAGGGGAGAAGGTAAGTGTGTTCTCTTCTCCAATTTCCAGATTAGGTCCTGTGCTGAAAGAGAAACCAAGAAAAAAGATGACATTCCAGAAGAAGACAAAGGAAATATCAAGCAATGTGAAATCAATTATGTGTATGTATTCTTCTCCTTTCAGATCTACAGGTTTGGCAGGGAAGTGCTTCGCAAGGAGCTGTTAAGTCCACCCTAGGACAGAGCACTAAGCTTCATGCTTCCCTTTTCTTGGGGCTTTGCTTTTCCTGCATGACCTGCAACTTTCAAAGCCAAGATCACTTGGGTTAGTCAGTTCTCCCTGTTCATTAACTTACCAGATTATTGGACCAAAATGTCCTGGTAGAAGTGAGCTTGTAGAATTAGTTACTCGAACAACTGCCCAACAGGGATGGGTCAGTAAAATCATCTATAGAGTTGAAAAACTGTAGGTTATTAAAGAAATACACTTAGATTGTTTAATACATGAAAAACTTTAACAATATTTGTAAATTCATCCATAAACATGTATAAGAAAAGTTTGAGATATTTTTCAAACATGTTTTCTTAACAGGAAGAAATTTCAGAGCTTCCAAGACCACAAACTTAAAATAAGTAAAGAAGACAATAAAATTCTTAAAAAGGCTCGGAAAGATGGATTTTTGCATGAGACACTTCTGGACAGGTAGATGTATTTTTATTATTTCCAACTATTTTCAGTAGCTAATAGAAGTGGTGTGTATAAGACCAAAGTGCTTTTTTGATTACTTGAGTTTTCAAATTGTCTTTATTTTCTGATTTGAGAATATGATAACATTACCTAGAATTCTAGCACATCATAAGCCTGGGAGGGAGATGCCAAGGAAGAATATCTTGAAATTATAGCCAGACTCCAAATACTATATATTTTATTCTAAGAGATTCAGATTTGATTGATACTATATTATAAATTTATTTACCATCATTTTTTTTACAACTATTCAAACCAGGCTTAGGTATAAGTAGTTTGACTAATATTAAAATTCTGTGGATTCTATGAGAATAGTACAGACTCCTAATAATGAGATTAAAAATAGATCAGTTAAAAAAAATTAGTAAGTATAAAAGTTAAATGAATTAAATTTGAAGCAGTTAATTACATTGGATTCAAAAGTGTGCAGGATATTTATCATAGTACATTATAGGTTTTCCCTACTATACTCAACTAGAATGTTCCCATGAAACCTTTCATAAGCCAAAATGGCATAAAGCAAAGAAGCAATTCCAATTAAATTTTTATGATCATTCCCAGACCCAAAAAATAACCTACCGTATTATACCAAAAGTAAATGACCCACTGCCCTGAGTCAATTCCCACTTAGGATGTAAATCTACAAAAGCAGGCTACCTGTCTTTTTCCTGCTATAGCCAAATGCCTTAACCAGTGAGCCACCAGACTTCCTTAATCATACCAAATAACACATAAAGCCTAAAATAACACTAGCATGTAGTGTTCACACAGTTCAAAGCTGTGGAGGCTTGATGCTGAGTGTAGTTCAGGGGATAGACCTTGGCAATGCCATTCTTGATGCTCATGGTGCACACTGCCTCTCAAGCACCTTCCTATAAAATAAACGCTGAGCACTAGTTGCAGTTTTTTTCATAAAACTGAAAAACCTCTTCAGATTTCTTTCAGTTAGCAAAAACAAGTACTAATGTAGTTCTTATGTAAAAGCAAGTGGTGTAAAGCAAACTTTGGAAGAGTGAGGGATACCTGTGTTTATATTTATTTATTACTATTCCTATGCTAAAGCACTTGACTGCTAACCAGAAGGCTGGCGGTTCAAACCCACCAGCCACTCCTCAGAAGGAAGGTTGGGCAATCCTACTTCTGTAGTGATACTGCCTCGGAAACCCAAGGAGGGGTCGCTATGAGTCGGGGCCGACTCGACGGCACATAACAACAACAACAACAACAATTCCTATTTAGATAAGTACTGTTGTAGATGTACATTAAAAAAAAAAGAGTGGTTTAGCTGTGAGCTTACAACTACAAATCAGATCAGTACCAGACTGATATAGAATTTGTGATATCCTGCCACTTACTCATTCAAATCATATGTTGCACAATTACTCTTAAAATCTTTCTTTACACTATTTGATAAAGGCAGTGTTTAATCATATATTTCTTGTTGACTAATTGATAGAATTTTTGTGTGAGGTAAATAAATGACATTATAAGAATTGTTGCCAGCTGACCAAATTAGCATGTATCTAGTTCTAAGACATCAGGAATGAGCTACAAAAAAATCACCAAGGTGTGGACTCAAATAGAATAACGTGAAAATTCAGTGTTACCATCCTGATAGAACTTTAGGGCTTGCTTAAATTCAGGGAGGCAACTAAAATTGCTGTTGTACATTGAAAAGGCTGTTAGGGAATGTTTGTTAGATATTAGGGAAACACTTTCATAAGAACAGAATCCCATTTTCTGTGAACCAAAATTTACAAATAAAATTTGAATACAAATATTTGAATATATGTTTTGTGGTGATATAACCAAAATTGAGAGCCCAGTTTCTAAGCATGAGTTTTATATTTAGTAGCAGTTTTTTGTCTGTGACATATTAATTACATATGGCACATTTTGCATAGGTTAATGTTTATTATTATTTCTTTGTTCAAACAGGAGAGCCAAATTGAAAGCTGACAGATACTGCAAATGACCAAGATTTTTGTTTCTGTCTTACCCTGTTTTTTTTTTTTTTTCTGAATAAAATATTGAGTGGAAGTTCTTTTACAGAGTCCTTGGTCTGTTATGGAATTATTGTTAACCTAATAGCTAGTTTAAGCAGAATTAATCAGGTTAATCAACATTAATCAGGATTCCCTAAGAATGTTCTTTTTAGTAATTGCAGTGTTTCATGTGGAAATGAAACTAGAATACACACTTAAAGTATCACAGATTTGTTTATTTCTTTTCTGGATTTTCATGAAGTATGAGAATACTGCTCCATAAAACTGATGTTTCCTATGTGGTTTGTGGACTCTGTCTTACTTGCTTTATAATCATTTTTATATTACTTGATGTAGTAGATGCTTAATCAGTACTCTTAAGAAGGAAGTTATAAACTGCCAATCCAGTCAACCAACAAGGCTTCATGATTCTACCTCAGAGATACTAGCCAGACCACATAAAATCCAAATATCAGATCGAGGGGGCTGGATAGAGAAAGAAATCAGGTTTTAGGCAGTGAAATGGAAACTAGAAACATCACCAAAGAGCAAGTAGGCTCTGAACAGAGGATTTGGGGGGTAGCGGGGAGAAAAAAAACACTGCCATCGAGTCATTTCCAATTCATGAATTTCCAAGGCGGCAAATCTTTGCAGAAGTAGATCGCCCCATCTTCCTTCCACAGAACTGTTGGTGGGTTTGTACCGCCAGGCTTCTGGTTAGCAGTCTTCTGGTTAGCCTTAGGCACTACACCACCAGAGCTCCTGAACAAAGGGTGCAAGAGTAGAATTGAGATTCTTTAATCAGGAGAGTTTAACCACTGTGACATTTGCATAATGCTTTTATCTGCTCTTATGGAATGAATAAAATCAAAAAAAAAAAAAAAAACTGGATCTATTAAAGAAGTTCAGACACTAAGTGTTTCTGAGATGTACTATGCTGAGGTAGTTTACTGCTAGCCTGCCTCTTTATGAGTTCCAAAATACGATGTTCCAGATGTCATCCATCGAACACAATGCAGGTTCCAGAATCCAAGTTGTATATCAAAATCATTCTTGAAATACAGATGACTAGATGTCACCACTGGAAACTCTGATGGACTGATGTGGGCTCAGGACCTCTATAGTTTGAAACCCTAAAATGATTCCCATACACAGCCAGAATTGAGACCTGGCCTAAGCTGCCAGGCCCTGTCTATTTTTCAGCCTTTATATTCCATCTGTCACCATATCTAGAGTCACTTGGTCACTCTACAAGCAAGATAGCTAAGCTTTCAGGGAGCTTATAAAGGTGCCCTTGCTATAAATCAAATCCTTAAGCTTCATCTGGATTCTTGGAATGGGAACATGCTTACTACTCTGTTCCCCAAAGCATCAATTCTCAACCAGGACCAGTTTTGCCTCCCAGGGGACATTTGGCAATATCTGGAAACATTTTTGTTATCATAACTGGGAAAAAGGATTACTAATGGCATCTAGTGGAATGCTAGGAATGCTGCTTAATAACATTAATATTCTGTAATAAATACACAAGACAGCCCTACAACAAAGCCCAAAATGTCAGTAGTACCCAGGTTTGAAACATGCCCTAGGGGTCAGTCTATTCCTTATTGTCCCAGTTCCCCCACCCTCCAAAATAGTGGTTCAGATTCATAGACATAAAAATTGTCCAGGACAGAGTACTAAATGTGAGTGATCAACATGGTGGCATTGAGGAAGAGGAAGACAGAGAGAGATACATGGGAGGTGCAGACAACAAAAATGGACCCTTTTGCACATACAGTCCTGCATTGTCAGTGAAGGCAAACATGGGTATATGGGTAGATAGATGGGTGGACAGGCTGAACCATTCGGTATGTCTATGCAGCAGGGAGTATACCCAAGACCATGTATAGGGTTGGCAGACAATGGATCTGCAAGTGTATGTGTATGTTCTGTAAGAATTCCCAGGTGTATAGTAGAGCTGACAAGGGACAAGGTTGTAGTCACTTCTTGGTCACAGCCAGCTACCCAGAGGACCGAGTAATTGAA